ATCACCTGTGTTTTGTCCAGAGTCACACAGCATAAGCTACAAAGCAGTCTGCAGATGGTTGTGAACCAAGGAGGGGTGCTGCTAGTGCTGGGCCTGGGGCAACTTAGCAAGAGGGCTTGCTGAAGTGAGATGCTGCTTGTTAGAATTTAAGGAAATCTGAAGCATGGGCCAAGAGAAGCCATTTAAATGGAAAACCCACTGGAAACAGCTTCTGTGGGCCTGAAGGCTGGGTGGACCAAAGCCTCAGGGAATGACCAGGGTGGGGCAAACAATGAGACAGTTTGATGGAGGCCCAGATATTATGCATGTCTACTAGCTTTGTGTCACTGTGGGGAAACAGCTTATCAAAAGAACAGTGGCCTTTCCCAGCACTTCTGTCTGGGAGAAAGCTTTCCTCCAGGTCTTGCCCTGAAGCTGAACAACTTAGTTCCTCCCGATGTGTCTCTGATGCTTTTCAATCTGCTGACCCCACACTGGAGCTCAGAGGGAGTGAATCTGAGTAAGCCCGTTCACAGGCTTTTTAAGAGGCAGGGAGTTCAGCAGTTTCTGTCTTCCACACCCTCAATCTCCATTGATTTTTATAGCCAGAAGTTGCATGGGCTTATCTTCCTGGTGCAGGAACCCTGGGCTGGGGAGGGGGGCCTGGTGTAGGGCTGGGATCCTTTGCTCCTGAGGTATCCCTCCCAACTTTTATCTGCCACATGTGGGTGCGGGACCAGCTCGATCCACATCACTGCCTCTCTTACCAGTCATGATGTAGTTTCTTCTATAATTCCGTAGTTGTAGAACTCTACTCAGCTCAATTTCTGATGGTTCAGAATGATGGTTGCTCTTTAGGGTAGTTATAATTTTGATGTGGTTGTACAGGAGGCAAGTCGTGTTTACCTGTCCTGCCATCGTGACCAGAAGTTTCACATACGCTTTTTATTTTTTACTCTTTTTGATTTACAAATTATGTTTATTCTATTACAGTTGTCTCAGTTTTTCCCCCTTTACCTCCCTCCACCCATTCCACCACCACCCCTTCTCTCACAGTCAGTTCCCACTCTGTTGTCCATGTCCATGGGTCGTTCATACTTGTTCTTTGTTTAGTCCCTTCCCCTTCTTTCCACCATTTTCCTCATTCCCCAACCCCTCTGGCCACTTTCAGTCTGCTCCATGTTTCTGTGCCTGTGGTTTATTTTGCTCGATAGTTTATTCTGTTGAATGGAGTCCACTTATAGGTGAGATCATATGGTAATTGTCTTTCATCAACTGGCTTATTTCACTTAGCTGAATATTCTCCAGTTCCATCCATGTTGTTGCAAAAGGTAGGAGTTCCATCTCTCTCTCTCTTTCTTGAATGCAGATTGATTTTATTTATTTTTTTAGATGTCAAAGTTAATTATAAAATGCTTTAAAAAATTAAAACCATTATAAAGTCTAAGCAATTAAACCAACATGACATCAGCACAGAAATAATCAACTAGATCAATGAAATATAATGAGCATTCTAGAGACAAACATATATATTTAACAATATAATATATGATTAGGTTGATATTTCAAATCAATGGATAAAATAAGGCTTACTCAATAAATAAGGTGCATGGACCACTATTACTTGAAATAAAACAAAGAGCCCTATTTCTCACATGATACAAGCAATATTCAGGTGAGTTAAAAATCAATATGTAGAATCCAAGGAGTTTTAGAAGAAAATAGAACTAATATTTTTCCTGACCTGAAGTAAAATATTCAAACCCATAAGTTACAAAGTAAATATTGACAATATGACTATATTAAACATTTAACTATATGGTAATATATATATATATATATAAAAAGTTAAAGGACAAAGAATAGAATAGGAAAGTATTTACAACACATCTAAAACATGGTTAATAGGTTTTTTTTTTCTTTTTAGGGAAAAAAGTTCTACAAACCTTTAATCAATAAATGGATAAAGAATACCAAAAAGTCATTTAAAGCTTTTTTAAAAAAATAATAGAAATAGGCAAGAAATATACTAAAACAGGTTTCGTTTCAACAAATAGTAAAGGAACAATTAAAATAACATCATTGTCACAATCAGATTAATGAGTATTAAAAATATTGGTAATATCAAGTATTGGCAATTCTGAAAGGAACTGGGTATTCATAAAAACTTTTTCTTCATGTTAAAGCAGTCCCTTTAGCATATTTTGCAGTGCTGGTTTGGTGGAGGTGTGTTCTTTTATCCTTCTTTTGTCTGGGAAATTCCTTATTTCGCCTTCCATTTTAATTGAGAGCCTTGCTGGGTAGAGCAGTCTTGGTTGCAGGTCTTTGCTTTTCATGACTTGGAATATTTCTTGCCACTCCCTTCTGGCTTGAAGGGTTTCTATTGAGAAGTCAGATGCTAGCCTGTTGTGGGGCTCCCTTATATGTTACAACCTCCTTCTCCCTTGCTTGCTTTAGGATTCTCTGTATGTCTTTGATATTTGCCATTTTAATGGTGATGTGTCTTGGAGTGGGCCTCATTGGGTTCCTCTTGAATGGGACCCTCTGTGCTTCCTGACCTTGTTTGACTTTTTCTCTCCTCCAATTAGGGAAGTTTTCCATCATGACTTTTTCAAACAGGTTCTCTATCCCTTCCTCCTCCTCTTCTCCTTCTGGTATCCCTATTATATGGATATTATTACATTTCAGGTTGTCTTGCATTTCCCTCTGTGTCTCTTCATGCTTTGGGGGGCCTTTTTTTTCATTTTCTTGCTCTTTCTGGGAGCTTTTTTCTACCTTGTCCTCCAGCTCGCTGATTCGGTCCTCAGCTTCATCTAGCCTGCTTTGGATTTCTTCTACTGTGTTCCTCAATTCAGAAATTGTATTCTTCATTTCCTCTTGTCTCTTATTGATAGTTTCTATGTCCTTTTCCATGCTGATACAGTTTCCAGTGAGTTCCTCGTAGTTTCCCTGTAGTTTTTGGTAATTCTCTCTGAGTTCACTGAGTTCATTGAGCTTCCTTAGAACTGTTGTTTTGAACTCAATATCCAATAATTTACTTGCCTCTATTTCATTTAGTTCTCTTTCTGGGGATTGCTCCTTTCCCTTTGAGTGGGGCATATTTCTTTGTCTTCCCATTATTTGTGAGACTCTTCTCTTTTGCTTCTGATTCTTAAATTGATCTGTCTTGTTCTCCTGACTTTGTGGTGTGATCTTCTGTGGTTGGAGACCGCTGATTTTACTTTCTGGATCTGCCTCTGATAATGTCAGATGTTGACCCTGTCTGACCTTAGACAGTCTGTTGGAGACTTCCAGTAATCTCCTGTCTGTGGCTGTCTCCTTCAGCTGTTAATCTAGTCTCTCTGCACTCAGCAGACTAATTTAGACAGCTCAGGGCGGGGTGGAGTCCCTCCTGGGGGCGAGGTTATTGGGTCCTCTCCTGCTGCTGCCTTATCGGGAAGGAGTCCGCACTGGGATCCTGCTGGCTACTCTCGGTTCTCTCCCCAAAGCCTCTGTCCCCAGTCTCTCCTCAAGTGTCACCCGATGTCTCTGCGCTCCCTTTAGCCAGGGATCTACTGTATATGGCTGCCACTCTGCACTCAGCAGGTGGCTTTGACAACACAGGGTGGGGTGGAATCCCACCTGGGGGTGGGGCTATTGGGTCCTTTGATGCTCATGCCACTCAAGGAGAGTGGTCTCTGCCCTGAGCAAGATGGCTGCTGCCATGTGGGGGATGAGTCAGCACTGAGATCCCACCGGCTACTCTCTCAGTTCTGTCCCCAAAGCCTCTTTCCCCAGTCTTGCCTCAGGCATCTCTAGCCCAAACTGCCCCCACCTTTGCCAGAGACCAGGGTAAGTGGCAGTTAGATTGCAGTAAAGGCGATTCTTCTGTCTCTGACGTTACAAGGCCCCTCTCTGGCTATTGTTCAGTTGTTTATTCCGGGTGATTTCTGCCCAATTTAGTTGTAATTCCAGGTTGGTCCTGGGAAGAGGTCAGTGTGACTTCCACTCACCCCTACGCCATCTTGATTCTCGTCTTTCTTAAATGCAGATTGATTTTATTTTATTTTGTAAATGTCAGTTAATTATAAAATATTAAAAAATTTAATACCATTATAAAGTCTCAGCAATTAAACTAACATTACACCAGCACAGAAATAATCAAGTAGCTCAGTAAAATATAATGAGCATTCTAGAGACAAGTGTATATATCTAACAATGTACTATATGATTAAGTTGATATTTCAAATCAATCGGTAAAATAAAGCTTATTCAACAAATAAGGTGCATGGATCACTATTACTAGGAATAAAACAAATGTAGAACCCTATTTCACACATTATACAAGAAATATTCAGGTGAGTTAAAAATCAATATGACATAATTTTTAAATTGTGACAGTTTTATTTCTCAAACTTCCAGAGTTTTAATTTTTAAAAAATATTTCATTTATTTTTAGAGAGAGGGTAAAGGAGAGAGAAGAGAGAGAGAGAAACATCAGTGTGTGGTTGCCTCTTATGCACCCCCCCACTGGGGACCTAGCCCGCAACCCAGGCAGGTGCTCTGACTGGGAATCAAACCGCTGACTGTTCAGTTCACAGACAGACACTCAATCCACTGAGCTACACCAGCCAGGGCTAATTTTTTTCTTTTCTACTGCAAGAATGGTATTGGATAAAAGTGGGAGTTGTGGGTATTTATATCTTGTTGAAATTGCAAAGGAGAAGTAATATCTTTCTATAATTATGTTGATAGTGAATTTTTTAAAGGAGTGTGTTAGGTTCTTTTCTCTTTCTGTATAATAGATTGCCACCAACTTAGCATTTTAAAACCACACACAATTATTATTTCATATTTTCATTGGTTGGGAATCTGGACATAGCTTAGCTGGGTCTTTGTTCACGTCTTACAGGCTGCGCTCAAGGTGTCAGCTGGGCTGCATTGTCATTTGGAGTATTAACTGAAAGAATTTGCTTTGAAGCTCATTGAATTTGTTGGCAGAATTTATTTTCTTACAACTGTGTATGTGTTTTCCCATCTAGTTGTTGGCTCTCAGTTGAAGGCTGCCCTTGGGACATAGTGGTGGTCTGCAGTCCTAGGAGGCTTGCTTGGTATGTTTGGACGGCTATAACAAAGTAATATAGACTTAGAAACTACAGAAATTTATTTATCACAGTTCTGGAGGCTGGAAAGTCTAAGACAAAGGCATGGGCAGATTCAATGTCTGGTGAAGGCCTGCTTCCTTATTCATGGAGACTGATCTTGCTGTAGCACATGGGAGAGGGTCAAGGGATCTCTCTTAGGCCTGTTTTACAAGGGCACCAGTCTTAGTCATGGCAGGTTCATCCTCATGATTTAATCATCTCCCAAAGGCCCCACTTCCAAATATAATCACATTGAGCATTAGAATTTAACAAGAATTCGAGTTGGGGAGGACACAAGCATTCAGTGTATAGCAAGGCCATTCAAAGTTCTCGGCCATGTGGGCTTACTCCAGATGACTGCTTACTTTGTAAGGCCAACAAGGAGAATCTCTCACTTCAGGGAGGGCTCAGTCTTCTTTTAAGGGTTCTTACCTGATTAAATCAGCTCACCCAGAATACCCTTTTTGATTAACTCAACAGTAACTGAGTTAATTGCATCTACAAAATTCCTTTACATTTGCCATATTCTAATGGATAGTCACAGATCCCGCCCACACTCTAGGGAAAAGAGTGAAAAGGGTGAGACCACTAAAAGGCAGATATGAGATCATACCAGGGCCTTTTATGCTTCAATTATGTTAAGAAAGTTCTCTTATAATACGGATGTATCTGAGTTTTATCATGAATAAATGCTGAATTTTACACGATGCTTACTTTGCATCCATTGAGATGGTTATTTTTATTATTTATTTTCAGGGAGAAGAGAAGGGAGAGAGAAAGAGAGGAACATCAGTGTGAGAGAGAAACATCAGTTGGTTGCCTCTCGTGCGCCCCCAAAAGGGAACCTGGCCTGCAACCCAGGCATGTGCCCTGACAGGGAATTGAACCAGTGACCTCTTGGTTTGCAGGCTGGCTCTCAGTCCACTGAGCCACACCAGCCAGAGTGAGATGATAATTTTTAAAAAATGTATTAATGTGAATAAAATTACTTGCTCTTGTTAAACCAACCTTGCATTTCTCAGGTAAACTGAACTTGGGGGGGGTGTGTGTGTGTATGTGTATTTCTTTATACATTGCTACTCTTGGTATGCTAATATTTGTTAACTTTTTAAAATCTCTGTTCATGGATTAATAATACAAGGACTTTTTAATACTCTTAACTTTATTTATACTTTGCTAAACATACATGTTTTGTTTGTATTTGAATTTTGTCTTGTTTCTTTTAAAAACAGTAGACATGTTTATAACTTTTGCATGGTATTGTAAATGTTCATATAATTTTACCTACATATTTAACTCATTTCTCCCTCTATTTTCTTCGTACATCTCAGAACTTTTATCTGGGCTAATTTTTCTTCTGTTGGTAGTATACAACCTGTAGAATTTTCATCAGTGAGAACTGCTGGGTAATAAATATCTTTTTAAAAATGTTTTAGTTTGTTCTACTCTTGGCACGTATTTTCACTGCATAGAGAATTCTAGGTTGGCAACTATTGTCTTCGAGCATATGGAAAATGTCATTCTTCTGCCTGTTGACTTCCATAATTGCCATTGAGAACATGGATTTCCAAGTGTTCCTTCTTTGAACATAATCTTCCTGCCCCCCACACCTGTACCCCACAATCTTTGATTATTTTAAGATTTTACTCTTTGTTTTTGGTTCATATATCAGAAACAAAATAATATTTAGAGACTAGGGCTTCTGCAGGGCTGGGCCTTGAGAGTTCATGTTCTCAGAAGTTTGCAGTGTCTTATTCTATGCCATGTGATTTTGACAACTTTTTTTTTCTTTCTATACTCTAATGATTCATGGCAAACACTTTATATCTTAGGCAATGTGAAATTTTGACATTGGTGAATCACTGTAATTATGGCCACTTTCACCACAGGGAAGAAGTGTCTGTTGTTATGGAGTCAGTGTGACAGATACTGTTCTCATGCCAATGGTGGGTGGTCATGGTGCCTAGCAGGGGCTGGCTTCAGAATTTAGATTACTACAATTTTATATTAAGCTACACTGGATTTTAACAAGACTCGCAGGGTCTCTGCAGACAGTGGGCCATCAGGGCCTAAGTAACAAGTACAGTTGAGGTAAGGATTCATTTATAAGGAGAGGAGCATCTTGGTTGGGGATAATTCTTTGCTGCTTGTACAATTTGAAATTTCAGCCAGGCCTGCAGGCCAGGAATTTAGTGCAGCCAAATTCCATGTATGAGCTTCAGGGCTAGTGTGTAAGTGAACTTTAAAATGTGTGTATAGATGCGGGTGGGCTGCTCCCTTTTTAGGCTGTTTTGAACTGAATTCAGAGCCAAGGGAGGACTCAATGGAGGGGTCAACCCATGGATTCACATGGTTTATAAAGAGACTTTTAAGAGTCATTGCCTACTTTGTGTTTGCAAGTTGGCTAAAGATTTGTTAATTTAGGTAAACTCTAAGTTTGTGTTTAGGCGCCTGAGACCTAAACTGGCTTTAACATAGAAGGATGGTAGAACTTCACTAAAAAAAATGGACATTACTATAAAGAACAACATGACACATTCTTGGGTTGAGATGGAAAAACACCTCAATGAAGATATTTCAAACCCAAAGCCCCAAAAAGCAATTCAGAAAGTGTTAGGGAATCAGCTTTGCAATGAGAAACCAGAGTGGTTTGAAAAATGTGCTTCAACTTTGCTCTAAGAATAAGTGCAATAGATTAATAAGAAGAAAGCAATAAAGAAATTCAGGTTGATTTAGCTGGAGGACTCAACAGATTTCCTCATGAGAAAGATTATTTTGAGGTTGAGACTCACCAGATGTAAGTAAGGTCAGGATAGACAGATGTGGATAAAGCACCTGCTCTTAAAGAGAGTTTCAGAGAACAGGTATGTTGTCATTGTTACCAGATCAGAAAGAGTAACAGCCCCATAAAATTTAGAGAGGAGGGGAAGCAGGATATCAGCTAACTGGAGTGATCCCTACAGGATGTGTCTGAAAGCTGCAGAAAGACTCCCTAAAGAGAGCAAGGACCCTCCAATCAAATACTGGGACAACAATATGAATTAGCTACAGAATATCAGGACCAGTTTGAAAGGAGAAGGCAGGTAAGATCAATGTAAAAACTCAAAAAATTAACCAGTGATTTTTAAGATGGCCACTTATTGTGTGCTATACCCTGGGAAAAAATGCTCAAGAAATTATGGTTAATATTTAGGAAAGACACAGAAAAGATGAGCTATATGGGAGGGAGGGTAGAAGCAAAGGCTATAATATCTAACCCAGGAAAGTTGAATGTGGACAAAATTTGTTTAAATAGCAGGTGCTTTTGGCAGACCCAGAACTTTTATGTTTTTACATATCTCACTGTGAAAAACTGTATAAAATAAAATCCAAAGGAATATATTAGAGAAAATATCTAAAGCAAAGATCAGTGGGAAAGAAAAAGAAATTACTCAGTTTTATCAAAGAGCAAAGTCCTACTTGGTAGTGAAGGAAAGAAGCCTCTGAAGTAGGTTAATCATCTAAGTCCTCCTGAAACTACTCATAGAGAAAACAGCAATACAGGCATCTAGCACAAGGATGCAGCGGACAGAAGTGATATACAGAGCCAATTAACACCCTAAACCTGGGGGGAAAACAGCCTTGAGTAGTAATGAAACCGAAGGCCACTAGGGGCACAGTTCATCAAAAGCAACTTCATTTCAGAACTTGCTGTGTTTCTCCCTAAAAAAGTTCTAAGGATAAAGAGGGCAGGGGAACATTCCCTGGCAGGCAGGTTTCCCAGGCTTAGGAAATTCTACAGTGAGTCGCAGCAACCATTGTGGCTCAGGGCCAAGAATACTGGTTCATGGGAGAGAGTGGAGACTATGTCACCAGGTGTAGCACACATGCAATGCAGCATTACTGTGCCTGAAAGAGTGCACTCAGTGGAGTAGTCAAAACTGAGACACTGAGCCCTGGCTGGTGTGGCTCAGTGGATTGAGTGTGGGCCTGCGAACCAAAGTGTTGCTGGTTTAATTCCCCGTCAGGGCACATGCCTGGGTTGCAGGTCAGCTCCCCCAGTAGGGGGTGCACGAGAGGCAGCCACACACTAATGTTTCTCTTCCTCTCTTTCTTCCTCTCTTCCCTTCTCTCTAAAAATAAATAAAATTAAAAAAAACAAAAAACTGAGACCCTGAAGATGCTGAGTGGGACGAACTTCTCAGTTAAAACCTGATACCTGGGGCTGCTTCCATTGCAAACTTTAAAGACTAAAGTGCAGGAATATCTTACATGACAATCTCTGGGGGAAAAAAAGATGAGTGAATTCCAGCCCCTAATACATCTTGGTTCCACATATATACTAAATCCCACAGTGCCACATTTAACCTCTCATGAGAGTTTTCTCCCAATTGCTTTATAAAAACATATAAAAGTCACTGTTTGAAAGTATATAAATCAGTGATTTCTAGTCCATTAACTATGTTGTAATACCTTCACCACTATCTAATTCCAGAATATTTCCATCACCAAAAAGAAACCCTGTTCTTATAAGCAGTCAGTCCCAATTCTCCCCTCCCCATCCCTGGCCAGCACGTATCCATTTTTTTCTTGTATGGATTTGCCTGTTCTGGGCATTTCACATAAACGGAATCATATTGTACATTGTATGGCCTTTTTTTACTGGCTTCTTTCGCTTAGCAGGATTTTGTCAAGGTTCATCCATATTGTTTCATGTAGCATTCCTCATTTTTTAGTAGAGCTAAGTAATAATGTTCCATTGGATGGCTCTTCAACATTTGTGTATCCATTTATCAATTCATGGGCATAAATTGTTTCCATTTTTGGCTATTATGCCCAATACTTCTATGAACATTCCTGTAAAATTCTAATTGGTTTTCAGGATAATGATCAATGACTCCAGACAAACATCACAGGGTGACCAGTATACTGGTAAAGTTGAAACCATTATTTATTTTTTAGATACTGCTGAGTTTTCTATTATGGTCCTTGACAACATTAAGTATTGGCTTTTGGAACATAGTTATATTTGTGATAACTATAACAGAAGCTGGGGATTGCTTAATTTTCTAAAAATGTATAGGTATAGAAAACAATTGCTGTATAATTTTTGATGCTTTGAATCCTTACACATAAGGCCCCTTAAGCTGCTCAGCAGCGAACAAACAGTTTCAATATCCTGTGCTCACCTGCTCCAGAAAGACCACAGCTGCGGAAAGAACCGAGACACAGACAATCATTTCACTGAAGCTGAGCAGAATGAGAAGTGGTAAAGGGTGATTTTAGTCTAAGTTAAGGACATCAGGACTTTTTTAACACTTTAACCTTTTTGGACTTTAACAGATTTTGGATTTTAACTTTTCAAGATTTTAATCTTTTAACTATAGCACTAGGAAATTAATGAGAGGGGTTATACTTAATTTTGGAGCATGGCTAGATGTTTACATAGTTTTAGGAATATTTTCATTAAAGTTGGAATATTTAACTTTAATAGCTTAATGTTATTTAGTCTTATTACAGAAACTCTTGAGAGGCTACCTTGGGAAATACTGCTGGACACAATTGGAATAGGAAATGTCTTTGAATTCAGAATCTAATTCTTCCAGCAAAAAGGAAGGTCCAAGAAAGTCCCAGAAAGATCAACTAATTAGAATGGAAGGGCGGTTGTTTTTTCATGACATATTTTCTTCACTATGGTGAAGATATACACTATAGCTGTATACTAATGGTGCCTCATGTAACTTTTTGAGGATATGTAATCAAACAGTGACCCACATTTAGAATACATTTTTTAAAAAGCAGTGCAAGATAACTTCTATTCAAAGGTAAGGGGAAAATACAGGAAATTTTTACCTCTTACTCATATGGGAGATGAAAAGTTTCTTTTGCTGTAGATTTTCTAAACTGGTAGATTACAAAACCATTAAAATGTGAAAAAAAAACCAAACCCAAATGACTGGATATTATAGCTGAATCTTTGCTATTTCCATTGCCAGGTGTGTAAGAATTGGGCACTAAGTGTTTTCTCCTTGGGCCAAAGTGGAAGATAAAGTTAACAGTGTGGGTCTTGAGGTTTTTACTTCCTGCACCAGAAAGACTTTCGGGACCCAGTATGCCCCTTCTGACACCTGAACTGTACACACTATGTGGGGTTT